AGTCTAGTATAATTAAACCTATATTTGTAAGTACAAGTACTTTCTTGTATGCTGCAAAAGAAGGATAACCTTGTGTCATTTATGCCACACTTGTTTCTATTGGTGGAAAGACTTCAAGTAGCATTCCAAGCCAATATCAAGATTTTCAAGATGTATTTGAGAAAAAGAATGCAGATACTCTTCTAGAACATCGTTCCTATGACTGCTTAATTGTCTTTCAAGAAGGAGTACAACCGCCATTTGGACCAAAAAGTAAGAAATGCACGATTCTATGCCAAGATAGAAAAGTGTATATTTCACACTACTCAAGTCGACTTCTTAGGATACATCATTTCAAATGACAGACTTATGATGGATCCTAAGAAAATTCAAACTTTTATGGATTGGAAGATCCCAAAAATGGTAAGAGATGTCCAATGCTTTTTGAGATTTGCCAACTACTATCAGATCTTTATCAAAGACTTCTCTCAAGTTGCAGCTCCAGTTACACGTTCGACTTGCAAAGACAAACTTCAATGGAATCAAGAAGCAGAAGTAGCATTTGAACCTTGAAGACAACCTTTGTTTCTACACTAATCTTATATTGCGTCAATTTTTCTAAGCCATTTTTTATGGAAATAGACGTATCAGACTTTGCTTTGGGTGCCGTATTGTTACAAATAGGAACAGATGATAAACTTCATCCAATAGCTTTTCATTTAAGAAAATTTTCACCAGCCAAGATCAACTACAAGATCCACGATAAAGAACTTCTTGCAATCGTAGATTCATTTCAAGAATGGCGCCATTATCTAGAAGGTGCTTCTAGCCTAGTCATAGTATATACGGATGACAAGAACCTTGAATATTTTATGTCAGTACGTGTTTTGAATCGTCGCCAAGCTCGTTGGAATATGTCTTTGTCAAGATTCGAATTCAAGATCACTTATCGACTATAAAAATAACAAAGTTTGTTAGATGCACTTTTTAGATGATCTTATCTTACACCAAAGGAAAGAGATGCTGCTTTTGATCAACAACAGATAATTCTCTTGAAGTTAGAGCATCTTCATCGTCGAGCAATGAAATCAACACTAACTATTGATTCAACTTTCATTAAGCAAGTTCAGTCAAGTATGTCTTCTGATCCTCTTATTCGTGATATTAAGGAAAATCCTTCAAAGTCTCATGATACTTCCAAGTTTGAATTCAAGAAGAATCTATTATATTTTGAAGGACGCCTATATGTTCCAAAAGGTGAAGCTCGATTACGTGTTCTTCAAGCTCCTCATGACTTTCAAGTAGTAGGACATTTTGGGTACAATAAAACTTTGGAACTAATATCCATGGACTTTTGGTGGCTCTAAATGTAGAAAGCAGTTAAAGATTTTGTACAATCTTGTGATGTTTGCTCAAGATCAAAAACTCCTCGTCATTGATCTTATGGACTTCTTCAACCATTACAAGTATGTCTTTTGATCCTCATAGGTGAAGAAACAGCTAAGCTCTTTCTTGACAATATCTATCGCTATCATGGATTACCCAAGGATATTATATTAGATAGGAGAATCCAATTTGTATCAAGATTTTGGCGGACTCTTTTCAAGATTCTAAAAGTGGATATAAAACTATCTTCGACATTCTATCATCAAATTGATGGACAAATGGAGTGTGTTAATCAAGTTTTGGAGCAATATTTAAGATGTACCATTAACTACCAACAAGATGATTGGACAACTCTTTTGCCATTGGCAGAGTTTGCTTACAATAACACGGTACATTCTTCTATAAAACAAATACCTTTCTTTGCTAATTATGGTGATCATCCACGACTTGATACTTTTGACTTCTCAAAAGTTGATAATCCTACTGCAAAAGATTTAGCGATTCATTTATCAGAGCTATATGCAACGATGAAGGCGTAGTTAAAAGAGACTCAAGAACAACAAAAGGTCAATGCGGATGTCTATCGAAAGAAACAACCACCATTCTTCTTGGGTGATAAGGTATGGCTACTTCATCGTAATATCAAGACCACTAATCCATGTGATAAGTTGGACTGTTGAAGACTTGGATCATTTTTTATTTCTACACAAATCAATCCAGTTGCATATTGTTTATATCTACCTGAGTCAATGAAAATCCATCCAGTATTCCACGTGTCTCTTCTTGAACCATACAAGGCAGTGGACATATCAAGAAGACGACAAGCTCCACCTCCTCTTATACAAGTGGACAATAATGAAGAGTTTGAAGTAGAAGAAGTCTTAGATTCAAGGCAACATCAAAATAAATTGGAATATCTTGTCCATTGGTGCAGATATGACATTAATGAACACACATGGGAGCCAATAAAGAATCTTGCAAATGTAGCAAAGGTGGTGGAGGCTTTTCATTGACGACATCCATCAAAATCAAGATGAAAACCTTCTTTATAAAAGAAACAACATCTAAGTAAGATAACATTCTACTTTCAATCCTTGTTCGTAGCTTCTTTGTAGTAGTGACGCTCAGGAGATAGAGAACCAACAACCAGCGGATTCGACTCAAGAGCCTTCATTTGCTGACCTGCTGGATGAGACATTACGATTGTCATAACCTTCAAGACGACACAATCGAGATGAAGATCTTTAAGAACAATATATTCTTCTTTGAATAGATGGCAAAATACAACGCGTTTGGTATCACAACCTTAGAAGGGACTCCCGATGTTTGGTGATTTTACTAGAGATAGGAACAACTCCTGATGGTATTCCAAATGTTCTATTCGAAAGAAGTTATGAAGGCCTCAACAATGATCAAATAATTGGGTGGTCTTTCCGCCTTTGTATGGGACACTATTGATAGTTGAGAGGCCCTATCAATCATCTTCGAAGAGAACAAAGATCAAAGTATGTGGCGAATACAATTTGTCGCATCATAGATTTTCTCAACATATGATGACCGCTCCTCATGGAACTCGTCCCTAGAAGGGGGGGTAATGTCATGGACATATTCATGTAAGCGAGTAATTACATATATAAATAAGTAGAAGTAAGTAAAAGTAAATAAAAGTAAGTTAATTCTATTGTATTTGATATGCTAGCTTTCTAGAAGCTTCATAGACATTGCTTTGACTTTATAGGTGTCTTTAATTAACTTTTTGAGATTAGAAACGTGGTCAACAAATTGGTCATGTGCCACACATGTTGTTAGCTTGAAGACCAAGCTAATTATGTAGCCCACACGTAGAAAAACTTGCCTTGTAAGTCAAGGCATGTGTCCTTCAAAGTCGACACATATTGGAGGTCCTATAGAACGTCGCCACAAAGCCCCTAGTTAGATAGTATATATAGAGACAAGAGTGAAGCCTTCTTCATTCTTGTCAACTCCTTTCTTGCTTCTAGTCTAGTTTCAAGGGTCTCTACTTTTCTTGTCTTTTGGTAATAGCCATTCCAGTTTCTTTCTTAATATACATATCAAGTTATTTCTATTTTGTCAACTTTCTTTGAAAGAAGTTTCACTTGTTTATTTGTCTTTATGATGTTCTTGTCCTTGACAATAATATAAATATATTACTTTCTCCTTCATCTGTCTCTTTTTATCTCTCTTCTAATACTTAATATATTGTAGTTTGATTGTTGAGAGTAATAATTTTGTAATATAAGTTTTATTTTTAATATATCTTTTAAATAAAATTTTAATATTATTTTTGATGTGATTATTATTTTTTGATGTTATTTTTGATATTATTTTCATAATAATAAACTTTTTGATATTATTGTTAGAATATTAAGTTAGCAATAATAAAATTCTTGATATTATTGTTATTTGTTTTTCATCTTATCCTTGATAATTAAATTAATTTGTGTTATTTCTTTATATTAGTTAAATTCTATAGTAGTCTTTTGATTTCTTTTAAGATGCAAAAAAATTTCTTATGCTTTGATTTAATTTAATATCAATTCATTAGACATATAAAATTTAACATTAAAATCCAAAATAAAATTTAGACCTTAAAAAAAGTTTCTAATGATAAATTTATCTATTAATAGCTTATAGTCTTAAATTGATTTGGCTTAATAATTTCTCTAATATTAATTTTAGTTAGAAATTAACTTCTATCCAAGTAAATTTATAAAAATAAAAAACCACAAAAAACCTTTATTAAGTTTACTATATGTTTAAAAAGAAAAAATTATTTATTTTTATTTTTATTTTTTAATAAATTCAATACTTCAATTTTTACATTACTTTTAATCCATATTCTTTTAAAAAAAATATGTATATTATACATTCTTGATTGAATTGCTTATGTTAATTGGATAACTACGTTTGAATTAGAATTTTTCATATACAATACAATAATTTTTTATGATTTTAATACCTTATATATAATATTTATAAAAAATAAAATCAACAAAGTGAATAAAATCAAATCAAATCAAATCTAAAAATGAAATCACATGAATTGTTTATAATCAACTTTCAAACAAAAAAAATTCACATTATATAAAAAAGACATCGAATAATTCTAGTGTAAGAGTCTTTTACCAATTCTAAGTTCTTTGTTTTTGTTTTTTTTTTTTTTTTTTTTTAAAAAAACTGCAATATAGCAATCTATTATTCATTTAAAGTTTTCATGTCTAACAATTTATATTCAATCCACTATTGCAAATCTATGTTATTGCTAATAAATTATTTTTTGGGCTCACTTAATTTTACATTACTTTAATCATTTAAATCAATTTCAAGCTACTAATCAATTCTTATGATTCTTAAATATGCTTAAATTTCCTAAATTTCTAATAAACAAAACAATTTTCTGTATTAAATCAATTGTGGTCTTGACAACCTTTTTTGTTTAAATTGTGTTTTTTATATATAGTACAATTGTACTTGACGACTTCCAAAATATAACATTAAGAAGTGTAATAGAAAAGTGGAATATAGAATTAACTACCTCTACAAGAAATAAAAAGAAAGGAAAATAATTCCCCTCGAGAAACCCACCAACTAAGCAAGCTTCACAATTGGTCCAAGAAACCACGAAATCCTGAATGGGTACTTCATTGAAAAATCTTGAAGGGTGTAGTGGCAACAAAGATGAAACGACTAACCAACGGATGCTGCTGAATTGCTCCAAGACATTCGGCATTCTCATCTAGATCCGAATCGTTAATCCTCAGCCACTTTGTGGTTACAGTGCAATTATTCAATAGTCATTCTACCTTTAAAGACTGTTCGAACTTCGACATCTACAAAAATTTCTGCCAGCTCACAATTCAAGCTAATATTCTAGACTGGGTACTAGTTCTCGCACCTTCACTGTGGAGAATGCTCGTTCCAAATCAACTGCTTTCCGCTAGAGCTTTGGTCTCAGACGAACTTTTTTGGATTGCACTTCACGGTTATTGCCAAGAAGCAATTTCAGTGTTTTAGAATCTGTCAGTGATGCAGGAAACCAGTAAACAGGAGAAGGAAGAAAATTGAGGGACGGTCCTTTTGTCTTGGTCCAATGAGATAACGCTTTGACAAGAGCCTCCACATCAGCTGCAGTATGCCCTGCTGAGAAAGTTATTCGAAGCCTGCTCCCAACAGTGCCACAGTTTTCAAATAATTGCATTCCTTCACACCTCTTGGTGGAGCGTGTTTCAATGCTTAGTGCAAGAGATCAAAGTATCACAATGCAGAGCACATGGGAGATGGTGAAGCAGAATGACAGGGATTGAAGGGTTACTGATTGAAGGCTCCAGACAGAAGGAAACAGGCATACCGTGAAGATCCAACAGGGACAGTAGGAGGCCTAATTGCAGGAACATGAAATCCCTTCGCGAGTAACTTTCTGCAAAACAATGCATCCCTTTCGTGTGTATCTTCAGCTTTGTTTCGAGGCGCAAAATTATCCCGCCCAGGTGTCGAAGTCATACATTTACACAACCTACTACAATGTGGACAGAAGACAACATAAAACCCACTGCGATACTGCCCGACATGTACCTGCTGGCTTCCAAGGCGGCGTCGGCATCTCCAAATAATATAGGAGCAATAGGGCTCGTAAAAATCAAGCCCGTGGCCTCTGAAAATTGTCGAACGAGGGCCCACACCTTGTGCTGTCGCCACTTCTCCTTCTTCGCCACCATTATTGCAGCTGCATAAAAATACCAAACCAGTACAAACCATAAGATCTCGCAAAACACAATAAATGATAAACTCAAATCTTATTTCTCTGCTTATATTTTACATTTTACGTTGTATTCAGTTGCAGCCACATAATTTCAGCTGCACATACACGCTAGGCTCCAAAGGTCGTAATGTCTTATTCCATAAACTTCGCCTTTGTTCCACTTGGACTACATAAAGTTATTTGTTCAAATTTCAAGCAGTCTTGGATCATTCAAGTGATGACGTCAAGTTACCGTGCGCAGCAGCAACGACAGGGACCGGAAGAGCTGTTGAGAAGATGAACGAGCGACCTCTAGTTTGAATCCACTGCTTCCACTTGCGGCTGCAGCATCACATATCACGAAAACGCCAATGAAAACAAGCCAAGTTTCGAGAAGATATAAAGTTCAATAGTTCGAAATCATGCAAAACATTCTTTGTCTTTCTGAATTTTGTCAAAACTACAAGCATGTTCAAACTCATAATTAACTATGCAACACCCAATGCACTAATACACTGACCCTGCAACCTGTATGTGCGCTTCAGACCTCTGAAAACATCATGATTGACCAAACGGAAATACCTGGATGCAATGAAACCACCATGACAGCCTATTGCCTTGCTTAAAGTTCCAACATGGATGTCAACGTATTCTTGTACTCCAAAAGCCTCTGCCACTCCTCCCCCACTCTCTCCACATACCAACGTTCCATGAGCCTGCAAAAGAAAGATTTAGCGAGGTTTCAAGCAGTCATCGTATAAATTGGCTCTGAAATATCATAAAGATACAGCAGATACAGGCTTCATTTAAAGTCAACAGCTGTTGTGGATCGGTTTAGGAGCCTCTCGTACCTCGTCAATTATCCACAGAAAATCATGTTGTTTACGTAGAGCAGACAACTCCTTCATGAATGCAAAATCTCCATCCATGCTGAATAGACTGCAACGGGTTGTCGTCTCATATACTTGAAAATTCAATAAATGAATATTTGAATATTTTGGAATGTGCAAGGAGATGCACAAGGAGAGAGTAGAAAAGCAGCTGAAAATATCCACCTACCTATCTGTGATTACCACCTTCCGCTCCCGTTTGCAGTTGGTCCTGGTTAATTTCAACAGCGAAAGTCTACGTTAGAAAAAGGGTCACCAAACAACGGGCGATCAAATTCTTTCATGCACTAATCCAAAGACGCAGAAAGAATCAGTCTGTGAGACGGGATTCTCACAGTAACTGGTGCAGATGCATCATATCGTTGTGTCTATAAATATAAACTTCTGCATTGCTTTGCCGCTGAGAAACACGCACCCCATCCACAATGGATGCATGATTCAAAGCATCAGAGAATATGGCCACTGGGGATTCCTTATCTTCATTTCTACCAGGAACCACACTTGTAATTGCTGTAAGAACTGCCATGTTTGCAGAGAATCCAGTAGGGCACAGCAAGCATTCCTGACACAAAGCAATGGTTCTCACAGAGTAGCAAATCAGCTAGAATTCCACTAAACTCAATAGACTACGTATGGAACGAATACAATGCATGGAACAACACAGTTCCTAGGTTACCTCATTACCTTCTTAAGAAAAATTAACAAGCAGATGCATAAGAAACATTCATCTAGAAGGATATCTAAAAACATTTAACATTTTGTCTAAGAGTCATTCTGAATTTATTAACAGGATAGGATGTACCTCGGTGTCCTTCAGCTCTGCTAGAGTAGATTCCAGGCGCCGATGATGAGAAGTGTACCCACAAACTAACGGAGATGCCCTCGGCCCCATCCCAAACTCTACTGCAGCCTAATGAAACAGAAAACCTCAGCAAAACCCACAACAATCTGCTGCCAAAATTGAGGTACGCATTCCTCGAAGACCATTGCAGTTGGCAAGAATGCACCCCCAAAATTCACTTTTCCTATGTGTTGCAACGAGGGAATGTAGGTCAGCAAACAAAGGTCAAGCAATTGCAAATATTGGGTGAAAGTGCACACTGATCAGAGTAATGCAGACTGCACCTCGGCGGCGGCTCGCCGAACAGCTGGGTGGACGGACAATCCAAGATAATCATTCCCAGAGAACAGCAGCAACTTGTGAAATTCTTCTTTCGCACCCTTGCCCCCAACGCTATCATTCAAGCTGTGAATGTCCTCCCCTGTTCGTACAACCTAGCGATTAAATCAAGCGGGCCACCGCACAAGTCAAAGAAATTCACCAAAACCCACACTACGGCCAGCATTCTCACCTGTGCTGGTCGAAGCACTCAGCCAAGCATCCACAGTGACCTGCGAGGTTTTCACTTCTACTCCAGCGCGGTCCCATGGCCCCAGATCTTCAAATGTCTGCAACGTATGCTGGTTGCAATCTCCCCCATCCTCATTGCCATCCGGTTCACTCAGCACAAGCGGCCGCAGCGATCGCAGCAGCATGGAGTTCTCCAAAGCCCCCAACGCTCCATCCAACCAAGTGTCCCAAGCCCCACCCATCCTTCTACGCAATGCGCCCTCCTCTCCACTCTAACTCCCGTTCTCTACAACACCAGCATCCACCACATCAAAAAAATCGGAAACCCAACAAGAAAACTAACTGCAAGTTCTCCATCATCTCCAAACAAGAAAAGACTTGCTGTGACTAGGGAGACCCAAGATTCCAATTATAGCCCAAACCTACTCTTGTTTCGCTAAATTATACCTCAAAACATCTTCCGCATATCACTCTAGTTCGGCTACCGAGGAATATTCGGTGCTATTCATTGCTCTTTCACCAGAATCTTCACCGCATCCCTTCCTGGGTTTCCACGAATCTCTTAACATCACATCACATTGATTCAATACAAGCTCCTCGATTGTCACTGATTCATGTGAAATCTAGCTGAGCTACTTGCAAATAGTCGAGAATGACGTTTGGAGGATATTTGTGTGAGGATTCCGAATTCAATGTAAACCTGTCAGAACCATAGTCGAAGAGTGACACAGACATGGCATGTTTAGCTCACATTGTGGATCACATTTAAATGTATTTGTATCCAGGGGTCATTGTGTTGAATCCATTTAATATACACCCATTTAAAAACCTTGTGGCAAAAGAAGACAAGGTGTAGGTTACAATGTCCATTCCTCTCTGTCTTGAGCATTTGCAATTGAATCTAGGGTTCTTGGTTTTTGTGGTCTCAACTCATAACAGGGTCAATGATTCCACGTTTCTGTTTTGACAGAAATTAAAATGAAAAATACATAAAACAAAAGTTGAACTTTGTACTTTTTTCATTACCCTCTTTAATTGTTTTTACTAAATGAAGAAGTGAAGCTCATAAAGCGAAACGAAAGAAGAAGTAACAGAGGTTGTAATCCATATGACGTTTTCAACCTTCAGTTGCACCATCCTCTCTAGCTCTTCTTCATGACCCACAAATTCTTAGTTTAGCTCGCACACTTTATCACTCGCAGACTGTGTAAAAGCTATCCAACTCTCTCACTACAAAACTTTACGACAAGTGTCCGTCAATCTAGACTAAATGCCTTGAAGCCATCAACCGCTTTATCCACACGAAATATCTGTTGTGTTCAAGGGACCTCATCGCCTTCAGGATTCATATCCATGGAGAAATTCTCGAATGGATCCCCACATTTGTTCTCAACAATGCCGGGTTCAAGAATGAGTTGCACAAGGATCTGCACGAGAGAATTACACTTGCAGGAGCAATCGCGAGGCCAACCTGGTCACTTTTTTCGTCTACCCGGAAGCTTGGAGTATCGGAATCAATCGGAGCCATGGCCTTAGTGACGATGCCCCTTGTTGGCGTGAGGCATTCCCAGTGGTATCTCTGCCATGGGCACTCTGCCATGGTAGAGCACCACCAGCCTCTGGAGCATTGCAATAAGCCTGCGCTCGTGCCTGCTTTCTCTGTCATCTCCACCAGCTTGAGTAAGTAGTGATTCATCTCCATGCCTGTGCACTGTGGGGTTTTGTTTTGGAGTTAGGGTTTTTCCGCGATCGACGATTCTTGAGGCATTGAACTCGATAAGTTTTTGAGGTTGTTTCGGCGGAATGCATTGCATAATGGTTCCTATGGGTATTCTATGCGGACATCTATCAGCTCTACCACCCGATTAGCTCCTACATGGCTGAGAGATGCAGGTTGAGAATTTTCGACACCGTTTAAATATGGGTACGAGAGTATATCAGTATTGTAGTTAACAACTCTTCTCACTTTGTCGAGCGTCATTTCGTATAGAATGGTTTCTGTTTGTCTGATCATTATCCTTTGTCGCTCCTGTGACGTGCATTACAATTATGGACAAGGTTATAGCCTACAAGTGTTGCTGACTTGTCAAGGATCGTTTCCAACTGAGTTGGAATTGCTTTGCCGTATCGATTTTCATGTTGATTTTCTCTTCAGGTGGGCGTTTACATATAGCGTGTGCCGATCGAAGTTATGGCTTCTCAAGCAGAACGAACAAGAAGGACAATCGTGTATTCTCCAAGTTCTCTCAGCTGGAGGATGGAGAATACTCAACAATTCAATTGCCTGGTCAATTGTCACCTTCCAGGTGTTTTGTAGGAAGACTCCTTGAGAAGGCTCTCTTAGTACTTCTGAAGTCTCAGGTATGCTTTCTGCTGGTATCATGTACTTCTGTAAATGCTGCAAAGTGTGTTTGAACAGGGTAGAGGTAGGATGCTCCTTAGCCACGCTTAACATACTTCACTTCAAAGACAATGTGGGGGTGGTATCTGTTGCAGGTCCAATAGGTCAAGGATTTGTTGGTGGAGTTTTCTTTTCCTTTCTTTCCTTTCCTTTCATTTTTTTATAAAGACATTATTTATATATTTATCTGTATCATATTTTATCTATTTCGTAGTTGTCACAGCTGCCCCACTTATTCGCAGTTGGATGATTGCGGGGACTTGAATGTGGCTGTGGGCGGGAGCAATTGGGACCTCTTAAGAGGCAAAGTGAAAAGGATCGAAGTTTCTGCCAAGAAAGCAGTTTACAAGGTACTAACTCTCTCGATTAGTATGTTTTATCCGAAAGGAGACTGAAGGACGTTGACGAGCAGGGTAGTGTTAAGTCTTGAAACCCAGAATACACTCTCGGCACACCCGAGGCAACATATCTCGGCTCCAACTGAATCTCGTCATCTGACTCGATATGTCCTGAATGATGTATAAGTCGTCCTTGTAATCGATTGTTAACAGCTGAATTTAATAACGGTTTTTATCTGCTTTATCTCAAGCAGTTTCTCCTTTTGCTTTAGTGTCTCAATTTATGGCATTCAATCGTGCATTCTCAGGGCATTGTTCTTAGCGAGGTGGGCTTAGCAGCTTCTAATGTTCGAGCCAAACTTGGGAAGAATAGGTAAATCCATAACATAATCATTCTTCTAGGCCATTTTCATCTTCGTTACTGCTGTTCATTGGTTTTTGACGTTTTAGTTTTTGAATTTAAAGTCAGCAGTAGCGCTAATATTCGTCGTTATACTTGTACTAAATGTTGCATCTTTTTGATAACCAGTTTATGAGGGGCTGAGTACTGAGTGCTCTTAAAAGAATCAAATGTGATTAAGTTGCCATTTCCATAGGATGATGAAATTCTATTTTTAAAGAAATATTTAATTGAGAAAAATATGTGCGACGACAGGCTGTTCCAGCAACCGTTTATTGTACATGCTAATATCCGGGTTCGGGAGCAGGACTTCAATACAAGGTATGTAGATGCAAGCACGCCTTTTCTCGGAAGTTAGAGTTTCCTATCCATGCGTATATTTCCTGAGCTACCCTTCTGAAGAACGTTCCGAATCAGATGCATTTTTGATATGTACTTGAACTGATCGTGTGGCAGTCTCACAAGTTCCATTTTGTCAAGTTCTCTCAACGACATCCTCCCTCGGTATTCCCAAGCAATTCAAGTGCAATATGATAATGGAAATTTGCGATTTTCGAGTTCAGACAAGCAATCTGGTAGATATGGTGAACTGAAGTATCCTATCACAGTTAGAGTAGACGTGGAGGAGAGTGGTGAAGTCATCTCCATTGAGGCGTCCCAATCTGCCTCTTCTAAAATGACATTTAAGGTTGGACCTGAAGTCAAGATTACCGACTTTCAAGTAGGCAGCTCGTGGTTGTTACTTACAGGAGAGTTTCTGGTTACGCCCTGGTGATGTAGTTATCTGGGCAGCACTTTAGATGGTGAAATCTCTTGTTAGTTCTTTTATATTTGCTGTTCGTAACTTTTTCAACAATTGCGACCTGGGCTAGGAAAGTGAAGCCCTCAAGCATAGCTCCACCAAGGTAAACGATGTATCAAGATCGGGCTCCTACTGAGCGAACGATATGGTGCAGTGTAATTTCTAAATGCCATCTCTTTTGTTGGAGAAACAAGGTATCACAGCTGTTAAGCTTGTAAAATGCTCAGGAATAATGCACTTAATCTTCTATGAATTGTGCGTTTTCAATCGGTTTCATCGCTCTTATGACATTGCAGGGTTTCTTTAGCTTCTTTTCATATCAGCCAATAGTGTTCTTTTGTGTGCACTGCTTAGCTACGAGCATATTATATGTCATCATCCAGCCAGTGTTCACGCTTTCCTTTTCTTTTCTTTTTTCTGTTTTTGCCCTTCCGTGACGAGTCGAAACTATGTTGTATGCTACCTCATTGTGCTTTCAGATCTAACTGAAATGGAGTTCTCATTTGTAAGAGGCTGATTACACTGATCTGCTCATCTGAATGTCGATATGTGCAAGAACCTGTTTTTAACAGATAGACTATTCAGTTGAGATTCTTAGCTAGTTGTCTAGAGTGGTCATGTCCAACAAGCTCAAGTTAGTTCCAGGCCCACCAAGCATGCTTATTGTCGTTATTGTTCATACTCAAGTCATACTCTGGTATCAAGGATGTTCAGACGATTGTAACGGCAAATGGCGCACGTCACTTCCTCGAATTGAGTTGAGTTGGAGGGTACTTATTATCATTTTAATCCACCTGCCTCTCTCATGATGACAACGTCGATAGAGAGATGACAAAATTGCTGTGAAGAGCTTGAAAGTACAAATCTTGAATTGATTGAATGATTGACATTGTTTTCTCAGTGTAGTCTGAAGGCGGACTGCACGGTTTATGGATGTTCATCACTCTATCAACCTTGCAAATCACCTTCAATTGATTGACATGGATGATTTGTTGTGATTAGAGTCTGCTGATCAAGGTTGATAAACTTTAGAAGGCCAATTCAGCGACACAACTTCACAAGGCCTGGTGTTTCGTGATCTACTTCGTGAGGTGGTGAACCTACTTCTCATTCCTAAATCATATCAATACAGTGGTAGATCAGAGTACTTCAGCAAAGAACGGGACAATTATCAACACCTGTGATCTTCCTATTTGGAAGGCTTAGAGAGGGTTACACATCTAGTTACCTTCTGTTACACTCGACACATACAACCCCCATGATAGACTCCTGAGTAATTTAGCTGTTCTTTCCCGGCCTTGCGAATTCCAAATCAATCTGCTAAGAGGGTTTAGCAAGGAGTATTGCATTTACCTTTTATTTGTGACATCTTGGACGAATGTCGCAGGCAGAACAACGTCCTTGTGAAGCAAGACGGACTAAGATCAAAGATCAGCTAATCTGTGGGAATGGATCAAATGCTGCAGGAAACTAAGATCGATCGAGACCTTCCAACCTCTCGCTTAGGGATATCCAGTGAAGCTGCCATACCTGCCCTGTACAGAGTTACCTCCACTGTACAGAATATGTCTTCCCATGAAAAAGAAGACAAGGATAGACTTGTCTGCGGCACTACTCCTTCCACAAACCCTTCATTCATCAAGACTGTTCGACACAGTCGCAATCTTGTTGCACTGGTGAGAAATTATGGGCCGCTAACATGCATTGTGATGCATAGCATTGGTCATCGTTTCCTTACAGATCTTTTAATTGTATGCCTGCTTATGAACATTCTGGTAAAGACGTGAATGATAAGCTTCAACTCTAGTTCATGCTGATTGTTATAACATTTTCAGGATCTTGGTTCTAGCCCTTTTTATTTGTAAAACCTGTATGCTCTTAATGCCACATTTCTTCTTTCTTAAGCAACTGCGCGATTTCTTTTTAGGAGATTCCAGCTCCGTTTGTCAAGGAACATGGACACAACATGAAAGCAAATGTCATCCTTCAAGGACCCAGTGGCCGACTGACGGTTGTGCACCTGACGATCAGATCATACGATGTTCAAGACAGAGTGCACTTTGGCGGTTCTGGATGGAAAACTTTCGTACTTGAAAATGGGTTGAAGGTTGGAGATCACCTGATTTTCTCCCTGGTAACAAAGTCCACGTTCATGGTGCGTCTCCTCTCTGAAGCTCCAAATGACAACAATACACGAAAAGTCCGCTGCACCAAAGCTCCCAGTGAGTTTCGTCACTCAGGCCCCGAGCCCTCTGTCAGCAACACATTTATGGGCAAGTCCTCAGAATCTTTCGTTACCCCATGTGAAGAACGAAGTCGTTTATGCTCGCGGTACCGAGAGGACGAAGCGTAATGTTGACATGCTTATCGATAAATTTCACTGTCCTCACTTTGTAACTGCGATAAGGGAATCCAACCTGGCGAGTAAACTGGTAAGCTCAGAACGCGGTGCTGCGATCTTGGTGCTCAACAAGATAATGAAACCACAGGACTTGAATAACTTTGGCTTGCTTATTGGAATCTTGTTGGGTACATAGTAGACGTTGTAGCTGCAATCTGTACTGTTCTTTGGATTATCTGCATTGTGCTCGTATTTTATGACAGTGTGTGCCAGCTGAATTCTTCCTCAAGTATGAAAAGTTTTTCGCCGAGCGAATCAATACTTTCCAAGGACTAACTGGTCGTGTGGTGCAACTACGTTTCTCGAGTACTAGAAACCTGAGTTTCACAATCGGGTGGGAAGACTTTCGCAACGAAAACAGCATTAAATTGGGAGATGTGCTTCTCTTCTCCCTTCGTGCACCTGGATGCTGGTTGGTGCAACTGGTTGAGAGCAGTGTGGACGAGTTGTACATGGGAAATGACTGATGGATGCGGTCGGGAATGATTCAGTTTTGAAGTAACGTCTGAAACCTCATTTGGGGCTTTCCTGTAAATGCTTTGCTCTAGGCCGCCGTCGCGTTGGTTAAAATATTTTGGCAGTTTTCGTAGTTACCTTACTCATTGATGTAGCTATTACACCGGATCGCACCCATGACATCTCCGTATTGAGTGCATAAAGGATGCTAAAGACTATACGATGAACTTACTGTTCAAAAGTCTCTTTTGGTGACAATGTATGAAGCATATCCTCTTCGCAACCATGTTCCCTGTGCTGTCTAGTTTCTTGCCATAATCTGGTATTCAGAAACTAGAATTGTACCACGAAGACAACAGGGGTCCATCTCAGTTAGGAGCGGTTGAAGACGACGACGAGATAACTTTTCGGTGTAATGAATGTTAGTGGAAGCTTGAGAGTTTTTGACCCCTAAGCTGATAGAGTTAAGGAAGAGTAGGGTTCTTCCACTTTTCCAGACTTCTGTAACGACTTCCCTTTGTCATGAAGTTTGTGCTTCAACTATCATTGCGAATGGTGCTACAATCTCAAAATTTAAGATCTTAGAGATATCTAATTAAATTGTCGAATTACTTTAGTCCACTCAATTTAAAGAGTCAGGCACCCTAGATGTTGTTGGGAATTATTATCGAAACCTACAATGGGTGATGGCTAGTATATTATATGGCTATTTTCCGCATTCTACGGGTTCTGTGACTTATTAAAGAGAAAACTTGTCGCCATCAGCAGACCAGTATGTTTATTCGGTGCACCCACAAGAATTCCGATGTCTACCCAACGTGGTAAGATTTTGGCGATTTGGCCTAGAGAACAAAAAATGCATAGACAAATTATGCGGAGGATACTCCGCAGTCGGAGCACCAATTAGGATTCGAGACACATAAAGAATCACCCCTCAAAACCCTACGGCCACAAGGTTAGAACCTAGACAAGTAGTAGGAGAAGCACAGCTCCGAAGCAGAGCGACAGGATCTTCCAGTGGTCACTTGCAAAATTCCAGCTGGGAAGGTTTGAATTTTCCCCCCAAGAGTCGAACAAAGGTGCGTATAAGGTCGACATACCCTCGTGCCATTGGTGGGATACCAAATAACTATCGCAACCGCGTATAAGTAGATCACACATGGAGCCGCATGCTACCTTTTTAAGGATGCTCTAAACACGGATATCGGCAAGAAGGACAAGCCATATCTGGTCCCTCATTGAAGTGAACACCATTGCAAAGTGTGAGCACATAAGCAAAGACCATGCTAATCTGTGCACAGATAAAAGCTATGGATACCATTCTACCAACTTCAATGAAGTGTTAGGGCACCTAGCAGAACTGAGTGCAACACAGAAACTCAAGCGGTAGACCACAAACAACTACACACGAACTAATTCAAAATACAGTGCGCGGTACTGTACGCAGATCACTATAGGAACACATACACAGAAACCCCACACAACCCGCAAACACCGCAGAAGTCACGGGCTGGGCTCGTGGTTGCTTCAGAGTAGCGATGCCTTATGAAGAGGACTGAGAACCCCACACCTGTCAGACGCTTCCAATAGCGATGGTTCAAATGGACCTTCATCTCCTCGAAATCCACGTAGACTTGACTATGTCGAACGTGGATCGAATCGCAGCAAATATTCACGCTGTGTGAAATGAGCAGTCACTGCACACGCTCCGGTGTGTATGGAAGCGTGCAGGATCAAGGTACAGGTCGTCGTGAAGGAACTCATTGTCAGGCAGATGATCTGACGATGCCCATGAATGTGAGAGTGCACTCGTACGCCGCACGGTTCCTCGCCGTTATCCATGCGATTCGTAGTCCTGAGTTGCTATTTTGAATGAATCCAGGTGTCTTGAAAAAGGAAACACCCAACTAGTTTCGGAGTGCGCACCATTATGTCGTTGTCGGATCCTTTCTACCTCGTCAAATTAGAAATCCAGGACACTGTGAGTGCCCAATCTATTCTTCTCGTTTTTCTTCAGCTTTTTGTTATTGACAGAAAGGACTCTCTGCTGCAGGAAATGCTCTAATTGCAAAGGATCATTGTTCGAGGGTTTCGAAGCTTTGTGATGGGTAACTAAATATTGCAGTAAGGTCGATTTGGTTGTGTCTACTTCGATTTTGCTTGTGGCCTTGATAATTTCAGTCATGATTGTTTCGGATCGCGTGCAGCCTGTGGCCGGGCATACACTGTCTCCGCACAAATATGCGGGGATGGTTGTAATGTGACATTATTGGAATGTAGGTCACCAAGCTACAATCTACATTTGCTCGATGGGAGCAGTTGCCATTTTCTTCCACAGAGCGGAGCGTGCTTAGTAAGGAGCTTCTATCCTCTTGTGAGAATATCGAATGGCAGGTATGGTGAGAGTGTTAAATGTCCCACACTGTATGAATCCTATGTAGTAGACCTAAAATTGACACTGCAAGTTTTGTTCTCGTTGGTGAAATTGAACCTAGATTGTGAGTTATTTACTTGTTCTTGAATGCTACGTCATTTATCTGTTTTTCTGATTTCCATTTTTGGGCAGGCTTTTGAACGATTAGAAATATTTCGTTTCTTAAGCCTATCTGCGTCACTCTTTGACATTCAGTTTTTAGAGAGATTCGGGCTTTTCTGAGTGTGGAAAGTGGCTGTGCAGAACAATCTTGCATTTTGAGTTTGGTTCTTATTATTTTAGGCAACTCTTTGTGTGATGGTTTGGTGAGGGATAGAAACATGGATTGCTCTAGTTTGTTTTATAGTAATGCAGTGCCATTTTTATTCTTTCTGTGGTTCATTTTGATGTTTTTCATGTATGTTTCCAATTCACTGCCACCGTATCGTGATTATTGGGGTTACGATTGTCATGTTCCATTGGGGATCTCTAAGATAGTCCTTTCACGCCAGAAGCATGTAACTGATAACGGAGAAGAAAAGACCAACTGTATGGATCAGATGTTTGATGTCTTCATGTTTGTCCTTTTTGGTGAACTGATTTTCTTCAACACATGGCATTCTTGAATGACACCGTTCTTCTTCCAGGTTGATGAATTGGATAAGGTAACTGGAGTTGTAGAGAATGACCCAGCTCGCTTTAGTGTAGATGCAGCTGAGATTGAGCGGTGGAGAAAATGGTCTTCTTAAACACGAAACCAGGTTTGTGACTAATTTTATTCTCTCGTTTGATCTATCACGAAGCGTTGAACCTCATTTTCAACAGAATGGACTGAGGGGTGACTAGGTTTACAACTGTTATTCTAGTACTGTAATGTCGCATTAAAGGGCTTTTAACAGTGCTCACTATCAGCCCTTTAATGTCCTATTTTTTAAGTTTGGTTACATTCCAAGGACTGTAAGTCATGATTTTGTGGTCACCAACCATTTTCACCTCTTGAATATTGCAGGTCCATTCTGTTGCTGGGAAACTGCAAAGTGCAATACCTGTAAGGAACATCGAACTTGGTGCTGGTCCAACTGGTCGTCGAGTTGATGAGACTGGATGACCAATATCAGTCGACGCCTGATCTCACTGACCACGACAGCTTCATTGCTAATGAATCCGATCGGCAAGCACTTACTTTAAGGTCCACATTAACGGCAATGTAGTCAACTTTAGGATACATGCTGTGCGTTAAGATACCTTGCAATAGTGGTCTTTCTTATAACTCCGAATCTAGCTATAGAAGATGTCTCAGACCATAGAATAGAAGAATGTAACAGCGGCGCTACTTAGATGGCCGTTGTACTTTGTTACAGGGGATGTCGTTGGAGAACATCTGAAGACATGAGTGATGAATCTGCTCTGTAAAGATTGATAGTTACTTGATAGTTGCATCCTCTGCTGCAGTCATTTAATAATGTACAGAATTTGGACCAAGTGAGTCACAAAAGATATCTCAGTACAAAGTATTATTTTCAAATTGAACAGAATGCTGACGAAAAATTATTTAATTTACTTGCCATGTGCATTCTTGTAACTGCATATAAACTAGTATGAGGATGAGCTCAGAGGTGCGATTTTTAGAACCTCCACCATGTCCACATGCTGGCCTACGGGTAATTAACCCGACTACAATTGAAATTGCAAGAATTGGAGTAAACATTAGGCCACATCTCGGACTGACCAATTAAAATATCCGGTGATTTTCTAAGTTGCAGTGTCACCAATACCATATACGGAAATGTGTAACTGATAATTTGAGGTCACTATCTTTTCTTAGACTGACACAGATTAATCAGTATACGATAGCAATAAACACTCTCAAAAACATTTTATACCGCAATGAACTCCCTTACATTCACAATTCTTCCATCTCAATCTAGCTCTTCCTTAACAAGCGGTACAAAGTTTCTCTAGGGGCGAAAATAGAGTATATTACAGAGTATCCTTATGCTACAAGTATGCAAGAATGCTTCTTGAACAGAAATTGGACTGAATTATCGTGTCCAGTGCAGCATTCATCTCTATTTCCATGAATTGAAAACTGAAGGCGCAGGAACTTCAACTTTACAAGAGAATGAGCGATGTCGATAACAATAGGAGAAAATTTACGTCATGCAGAACTCTGTTGCAGATTAATCGGCAATATTCTCTATTATGTTGTCGAAAAACTACTTTATAACAAGCAAGATATGCCAGAAGCCCTGGGCACAATATTATGAAAATATTAAATTAAATCAAATGTGTCATCAATCGCGTTGCACAGCCTGCAATCATTTAAACACGATTAATGTAAGTGCCTGATTAGGATACAAAGCTCTGCATAACTACATGAGGGGTGACATCCTGAATACACATATTAACTTCTAAATCATCACGTTACACGGAGGTACTGGTAAAGAGGTAACCAGGTGAGGTCGAGAAGAACCGGCCCCACTACCAGCCGCACTTTCAAGTTGTTGTATCCGTTTCTCCAATTGTGAAAAATGTTCCTCTGCCTGCACAGAACAGAATTGAGGATACACGACTTTGAAGTGTGAGTTACAGTTCGGCAGTTTTCAGATGATAGGTAGTAAGGCCAAGGTAAAGGTGAGTTCTGAACTACAATCATTCGCAGAATTGTCTGTAATCAAAAACCCATCAATTCGTAAAGGAAATCAACTCTAAACATCTTAAAACTATTGTTAAACCTTAAGCTGTTCTTAAAAACAGACTTGTCTTGACAAAACACCATATTTAAAATGTAACAAACAAGGGGAAACGAAATTGCTAGTTATTACTGCTGCACAGTCCTGCTGGTGCAATCTGAGAAGATCGAATCCGCGTATTTCTTTATTACAAGCTTCTTTTGAGATCGTGGTGTGTAGACCTCTGAGAATGCTACAATTTGCTAATTGAACTTCTCACAAACAAAAGTCGAAAGCACAAAAGGACAGTAAGATTTACTTCATGCCTCTATGCGACGGATACTTCTTCCAAGGAAAAAAGCATACAAACCCTAACTTGGCAATTGTCAAAAAATCAAGATATAACATCATAAGTAAGCTGTCCAACATTTGGAAGACCACGGTCGACGACAGCAACAAAACGCAAAAGTAAGAAATATCCCTCTAAGAAAGATTTTGAAATTGGGAATAAAACCAGAGAAGAGTTTGAATTATATATTTCTCATCACAACTCTAATGCCATACTCACGAACAAATCAGAGCTTCCTAGAATCTCCGCTCGTCCTATTTCTTGATCGAACCCAGTCACTGTACCCGTTCAGACTACGCGAACAATTTTATTGGCAATGCCCAGAACGGGAGAGGGTCTAAGCTTTATAAGCTTCAGCGACTACATATTTTCGTGACTGTCATGCGCTACAGATCTATAAGAGCAAGTACCCAACAACCAACACATCGGATGGAATAATCACAACGGGCAAATGAGGGAATTACTCACCTCATCGGAGAGATTGTGGTGGCTGCCCCACACATCCCTCTGCAGCTGGAACATGGCAATGCCCGAAGCCACTGCGAACCCCGTGAAGAAGGACATTGCACGCACTCGAAGCATGGCTCCACCTTTTTAATTCTACTGCACCCCTATCCCTTCAACGTTCCTGCTCTGTACCCCCTTCCGGGCAGTGCGTAATGGTCCAACTCGGGCTCCTACCTTGTCAACAAAACCTGAGATAGAAGACCCTTGAAATTTTTGTCGTGCTATATCGCATTCGTTGATGTTCCTCGCCACCGATCCAATGCTGCCCTGTCCCATTGCACTTCGCATCGCGCGAAAGAGATGGAGACGACTCCTGCTACCGACGACTGTGCCCAAAGCACCTCACGGTCGTAGGTCTAACCAATGGCTAATACGGGCCGTCTTCGAATGACAATACACGAAGTATACATCTGTATCACTTTATATGTATTAGAGAAGTAGCTGTATGTCCACATACAAGCTACTCGACACTCTAAAATACTTGTTTTAACACAAAATTGAAGTTGTGTGTTGTGAAGAAGTATGATTGCATCACAAGAAATTGATTAAAAACATATATATCTATATATATATATATATATATATATATATACATATAATGGATTTTAAAATGACTTTTGAATATTTACTTTGAGAAATTTTAAGCTTTAATTAAGACGTAAATATGTAATATAATGTTTTGGACATATTACGATGCCTATGAAAATATTTTATTTACTTGAAAATGTATTGTGGTTGTTCAGATCTCTAAAGACAACGTTGATGTATGTTTAATTAAAATAAATATTTTTTGAAAGTCTTCTACATTAAAATTACAAAGGTTTAGAATATAGGATTTAGAATTCTAAAGTTAAAAGGTTCTTAGATTTTTTTATAAAAGTACTTGGCTTAAATAAAAATTACTTATGTTAAACAAAAATATAAATTTTGACTAATTACATGGTTATTATAACATTCTTATAGTTTCTTATAATGGTATTATAAGAGGAGAATCTATGTTAGATCAATTTTTTTGAATATATCTTTTAATTATCCTTAAAAGTGCAAGGTTCTTTAGTTTAGTTCTTTGAAAAGTACAAGGTTTCTTTACTAAAAATATTTATAAAGGATATTTTTATTTAAAGCTTAGCAAAAACATCATATTAAAAAAGGTATTGATTAGTATTTTATACAACACAACAATAAAACTCTACTTCTTCTAAAGATGCAATTTGAATTTTGATACTAAGGTTATATAAGAATAAGACATTATAAAAAATTTGACATTAAACAAGTTCTAGAAGAAGAAGATAATAATAAGATGTCATCAAAATTATATCTTTGTTTAACTTTAAATTATAACCAAGTTTTCTATTTAATAATTATTCATAAAAAATATCTATTTTAATTCATAATAACAATCTACTTATATAAATTTAAATAAAAATGCAATATAAAAAATTCTTGGAACTTCAAATTGTTTAAAAAAAATTATCTAAGCTCTAAAAAAATTATATTGTAGTTTAATATATCTAAAAACAAACTTTAAAAAGAAGTTTGTATTGTACATTTAAAAATTTTAAAAAAAAAGAAAAAAACTTGAATAACTAATCTATTTCAATAAGCTTTTATAATATTTTATAATAAAATTTTATTTATATATCTTATATAACTATATTTTATCAATTTATAAAAAATTTAAATAAAAAATATCTATGAAATAAGCTTAAAATACAAGAAAATACCATTTTAGAAAGTATTAGTAAGAAAATTTATATAACCAATAGTACCAATGACTAAAAGTATCAAACGACCATAAATCTTTTCATTCATATTTAGTCTAGAGAAGTAAAAGATTATATCATTCTTCATCAAACCTAAGCAATTAAATTTCACATAAATATCTAAATAATATATAAAATAATAAAATTCTTATTTTTAGAATTTATATAGATTGAAAAAAAATATTTATGACTTTAGAATTATTTTATAGAATCTAAAATATGAATTTTTGGTCTTCATTGAATAAAATTTTAATTTTTGATAATTTAATTTAATCTAATTTTTAATAAAATAAGACATACATTAAAATTAAATAAAAGTTAATTACTTTGATTTTATAAATATTATCATAATATTTTTTTTATTTCTATTAATCATTAAAGAATATTAGAAGGAATTAAAGTAGGATAATAAATATCATAAACTCATTGAAATAACTTTCATAAATTTAAAAGGTAATAGAGTGGTTTAGTTTAAGTATATATGATATAAAACCTAAATATCAATAATTAATATTAAAAATAGGGATTTTTATCTTATTGGAATTATACTAATAACCAATATTAAATTATTAATAGTAATCAATAATATTTTAAAAAATTAAATACTAATATAAAAATTTATTTTTTAATAATTACATATATACACTTAATTTTTATTATATATTTTAAGTATATGAAATTATATATAAGATATATAAACATATAAATATATTTTATAGGTTTTATTTTAATATTTAAATATAATATTTATCATCTTTAAAGTTTTAAAAATAAAACTTAAAAATATTTTTATAAATTTATATTTGAATATTATTATTATAATTTTCTAACAACAATTATTATTATTTTTTAAAATTAATAATATTTTTTTGATATTTTATACAAATAACAATATTTATAAAAAAAAGGTGTTTTATATTTCTTTTTTTAATTTTTTATTGTATAAATTTTCATAGATACTAAAATTGAGTGTGTAAAAATGTTTGTAAAGTTATGCTTATTAGTTCCACCTATTATTAAATAAAGATGAAGATACTTTATATTAATTTCTATTTTAAAATATTGACTAATATTTTTACATATTTTACTTTAAAATTTATTGCATATTCTATACATTTCGTATTTTTTAATCTTCTAACTTAATTAATGAGAAGTGCTTCAATTACTATCATATTTTTTTGGATACTTAATACTTCAATCTTTCAATTAGAATCATCACAAATTTTATATTTATTAATCTTACTATAACATTAAATGAATGTGATTGCATATTTGTTGCTATAATGTATATAAATAATTGTAAGATGATAGAAACATGAAAATGTCCCTGTATGATAATTTTATCAAGAAAATTTAGAAATCTTGACTAAAATTTTAAAAAATTGAATTCTAAAACTATTAGACTATTTAAAAAATGCATTTCTATATATCATATATAATATTTTATAACTTCTCTTTTTATCTTTTTTTATAATTGTTTGACTTCATTGCTAATGAAGTTACAAAATTATGTCAAATTTTTTTAGGTTCATTGTTGCTTTGTATTTAATATGTACACAAATGATGGATGAATGGATGCATCTTAAAGAGCACTCAATTGAAACTAAAAGTTGAGGATGTTGGAAGACAATTTGCTCATGTTTGGTCATTTGTGCTCCAAATTTTAGAAGCCAATTGGCCTTCTAAGAACATGTAAGCCAAACTTATGCTATCAAGTAGAGCTAAAAAGCTAAACTTTGAAAAAATAGCTTTGAGGTTATTATTAGAAATTTTTATATGTGTGTCTTCATCTTGTTATCTTTGTTCATCAAAAAAATTATACTTGTTCTTCTCTGGCCATCTTGGATTGTATAGGCAATTTTTACATAACTTTCATTAAATGATATCTTTGCCAATGAATTTATTAGTAAGATATTTGTCTTTCTTTGCTAATAGTAAAAGCTTAGCTTTTTGTAGACTTTGTGATTAAAGTTTTTATTTGATTTTGTAAGCTCAAAATGCAATCTCTTCAAGAAGATAAAAAAGAATGTATTTCAACCATGCTAATTTGGAATAGACTACATTCCATGGTTATAAAAACATTCTATAAGCTAATTTGGCTATGTCATCTAATTATCAATTCATTCAATAGCTTTAGTTAAAAAAATTAGATAGGAAATTAGAATTTTAAATGATTCACAAAATTGAGCAAAAATAATTCTCTTAGTTGAATTCTTATTATTAATTGGATAGACAACCATTTGTTGGTTACATTACTTGAGAGCAGATAATTTTTTTCTTATTTTGAAGGTGAACATGATGATGGATTGTGGATTCTTTCTATTCATTTGAATGACCGCTAGGCTTTGCTTGTCAGATACTGTAAAGTTTTAATCAATTTTTCCAATTCTATTGTATTATAGAAATCAATTGTTGAACAAATCAACAAGATCAGTTGTGGCAAATTCATGGAATTGCTCATTACATAGCCTAATACCTTATACTTTGGCATTCTCATTTTTTTACACCACTAATTAAATAATTTAAAATAATAACTCACCATGGATTGGATGCATTTCTACCTATCAATTCTATTACCAAAATATATTGTGTGAAAAATAAACCTCTCTCATTTTTTACATTTTAAATATTTTAGCACATGATGTCATTCACACTAGGTATAAACTATTATGTATTCCATTTTAAGAATGAATATCAACAAATTATTCATCAATTATTATTTATAGATTTAAACAATAAGATTGGTGTGATGACTTAAGACAAGTTTGCTCAAGCCTTTTGCCTTAGACATGTGCAAGCTAAAAATAAAGCTATAAATACGAAATTTTGTCTTTAGATTCATTGATATTCAAAATTGAATTTCTTTGTAGTAATCAAAAATAGTGCATGCATTTTGTTGAAAGCATTTAATGTAGGTAGTACTCTCTATAACATTCACTGTGGTTACGGTAAATATTGTAGCTATAATATTTAGAATGTAGTAGAGAAAAATCGTTTATCTTCTCTCCTTCTCTTTGTATATAAGTGAGACAACTACATCAATACATAGTATTTTTAGAAGCTCTTTGTCCTTTTATATACTCTCTTATTTGAGTGTATGTATATATTTTGTATATATACTCATTACTTCTAGCTACTCTTATATCTCTTTAAAAAATCTTCAATACGTAATCAACATTATCAATTATATATACTATTTTTTATTCTTAAAAATTTGTGTACACCTTATCTTTTGCCTTCTCTTTGTTTTTTTTTTCTTTCCTTATATTCTATTGTCGTGCCTACCTACTACTACTGCTCTTGTCTACCTTCATGATCCTGCCACCAAACTGCTACTCACTATTGTGCTCTGCCATAAGCAATTAGAATTGCCATCATTATCTGCAGTTGTCATTGTTTGCTATCACTCTCTGCTGTCTTCCTTCTCCCATTGCCATTTTTCATTTGTTCTTTGTTATTGCTGCCGTAATCCATTATTAACTCTTTAATATTTTTGATTTCAAGTTTAAATTTATCATTTTATTTAACTTTATATTTTAAGATGTAATTTAGTTAATCTT